TAGGCATATTTTTATCGCCTAAAAATTTTTCATCTGTTCGGATTTCCTAGCTGAAAGTCTAGTAATCCGAAAGTTATAGGGATCAAAACTTACCTTTTCGAAAATTTCAGTCAGAAAGTTATAGGGATCAAAACTTACCTTTTCGAAAATTTCAGTCAGAAAAAAGGCTCCCGAAAATTCTAGGTGACCTTTTTAGGGTAAAAATCCGTTTGGGGCAGCACATACATATATGGCTTATAGAAGGGAGTACCCCCTTCCCCCCCCAACCCCACCCCCCTGGGGGCTCGACGGAAGCGTCTATTCATTTCAGATGTGTTTGCGGGATATTTCATTCTCAATCAACAATCAACAGAAACCCTTCCTTAAATGGCAAATGAAAGGCTCCAGATGTTAAGTAGGGATTTCAATATTTCTTTGTCATGGCTTGAAGTTAAAAGTTTGTTGCTGTTATTAGAATTATATAAACGGAAGCTTCGCTTTTAGCCCTGGCTAAATCTATATATTATTTAAGTGATGTAAACTATGTAAGTAAATATAAGATGACAAAACAAAACAAAAATAAAGAATAAAAAAATAAATAATTATTATAATCACCCCGTCTTCTTCTTGCAGAACAGCCTTGACGATTTGTTCAAAATAGTCATTGTTTGTTCGAGCAAACAAAGCTGATTCAGGTTGTGAGTTGCAGTCATCCATGTTCTTTTCTTTAAAGTCTACTGGCTCTTTTCAGTTTGTTCGCAGAACGTGAAATTAACATAAGTAATGACTTCCCGTACCCTGCAGCACTTAATTTAAATGGGCCCACTCTCTCTCTCTCAGTGATTTTAGTCTACGAAGACACTTGCTGCAACTATACTTGTCAGATTCTCAGTTTCCAACTGAAAGCCTACAATACGTAAGTACTCAGAAACAGGGGCACCCAATGAGGATATAGTTCAAAACCACTTAACATAGCATTGTTGAACGTATTTTAGTATTTAAACGGTAGATATAGGCATATTTTTATCCCCTAGAACTTTTCGTCTGTTCGGATTTCCTAGCTGAAAGTCTAGTGATCCGAAAAATATAGGGATCAAAACTTACCTTTTCGAAAATTTCAGCCGGGAAAAGGCTCCCGAAAATTCTAGGTGGCCTTTTTTAGGGTAAATATCCGTTTAAAATGGGTAATTATACCATTTTGTAGATGTTCGAAAATCCTAGGAGAGGCAGGCAAGCAAGAAATTTTACAACAAATGCTCCGAAAATTCTAGTTCTCAAATCGTCTTCCGAACAGACATTTTCCCGAAAATTGCCGTTGAGTGCCCCTGTCAGAAAGTAGACCTTTGTCAAAAAATACCTTTCAGAATAGATGTAGACAGAAATTTCCATGAAGAAATGCTTGCTTTCTATTTTGGTCAAGTTTTCCCTCTGAATTTATGGTCGACTTCATAATCATACTGATGTGCTTCCCATTTGAAAAAGCCGAAAGACTTAAACACTCAATCGAAATTTCTAATGCATACGAGTTCTTCAGTGGAAAGCTTAGCGATTACCGAATCTCTTTCATTCAGTGAAACCATATGTTTTGGTCCGCCCTAAATCTTTGTTACATTGTACGCTGAGAAATTCAAAGGCCCATTTTGTCTGGTATAATCTGAGTTACCAATTACTCGCTGCGGATATTTCCCAATAGTGTTTTGATCTAATTTTAAGCCTTCTTCTGCTTCGTATTGCTTTGTAGACTTCGTAGGTCTTAGAGGAGTAATTTTTCACGAAACCAGACACATATAACTGCGTTAGCTCGGGCTTCCCTAGAGCAATTTTGCTTGGTTTAAAAAAGTTCAAATGAGTAAGCGTCATCTAAGAGATCACAGTCTTCAAAGGCAACTTATATCGCAATAACAACGGTCCATATGCTCATATGCATTAAAACAAAAAAAATGTAAATTGCTTGTTTACCCACGAAGCACATAGGAGTTCATATGAACTCGTTTAAACGTGTCCACGCGTTACAGATCGAATTGGAATTTGGAAGTGTTGGTTTTTGAGGAGAGGGAAAAACCGGAGTACCCGGAGAAAAACCTCTCGGAGCAAAGGAGAGAACCAACAACAAACTCAGACCACATATGGCGTCGACACCGGGAGTTGAACCCGGGCCACATTGCTTACGTGATTACCACGTATTGGATTGCAGTGGGTGTTTAGTAGAGGTCATAATAATAAAAAAAAGATCAGAAAAAATCATTGACATCAATACAAAGCAAAGAGCCAGGAGTTGTTTACACAAAAGCTGATTGAAGTACTCAATTCATTTTATGTTTATTCCTTCTTCTGAAAAGCAACTAAGCTTAAATATGGAGGCATTCCTAATATCGTCGACAAGACTGTTCAAAGTCCGTTGGTAGCTCACCACTTCCTGAGATGGCTTCTCGATAAGTTTCACGCGGAAGAGTTTGCTAGTAAATTGGTCTCGTAAAGTCTGTCAATTGAACTGAACCGTTTCAACTGTACGCTCACCGTCGTTTCCTGTAGGTCTACAGATGAAACGTGTGCATTTGGTATAGAGATTTCGCGTATGAGAAAGGACAGAATTCATTCTTGCGATCATTGAGTTTGATAAAACGTGACTTTGCTCACCTTAGACAAGAAGCACCATGCTTTGCTCGAGTCTGCTGACCTATTTTTAGCATACTCTTATATCATGCTCACATCAAGACGCCAGAGGGCGATTTGTGCCAGAACAAAAAACGGAGATCATTTTTAAGCTAGGGCGTTTACACAGGAAGCCCGAGCAAAACAACATTGCGCCTTGTGACTCAGAAAGGCTGTAAATTTCTCAAAAAAAAAAATGTCCACGTTATTTTCATATTCAGTAAATCTTAAGTCTAACAAAGGATCCCTGTAATTTACAATAAATTTGCAGAATCCAGATAATATGTGAATATAATGCAAATCTCAAAAGGAGGTTGAGTTTGATCGTCCGGGTGAACGTAGTCCTGAATAACATCACGGTTTAACTTACAGACGACCAAAAACATCGCGACATAATTGACCAGTCAGATTGATAACCAGAGTATAATACCATCGACTGACGTGATACAACTCACTTTGACTCTGAAGATATGTGCGTCACGACCCCCAAAAGGTTCATGGGTAAAATTATTGCTGTGCCTCATTTCAATCGTGACACAGTGGAGTTCGCCTCTTTTGAGAGAGATGAATCAAACACATGGATCAAAACACTGCTTCCTTTTCTTAAAAACATTACGGAAGGGAGCGATTTGGAGAATTTTCAAGATCCCATAATGGCCTTAGATGCTTGCTATTAGCTTCATAAGGCAATTTCAATAAGTTTATCTCGATTCGGAGACGATCGACGGTGCGATCCGTAGCAGATTTTAAGCGACGATTTCCTGCTTCTCAGAAGATTTTATGTACTGTTTGGTTTATATGTATATTTTTTATCTCAAAGTGAAAGAGATCTGTAGTTCATACCTGGATTTGCTTAACTAAAAAAACAAATTTTGATGGACTTTATTACCGCCAATTCAAGGAGGGGGAGCGCGAGCAAACAGCAAGGTCAAAAATCGTCTCTCATAACAATTTTGTTTTTCATCGAAAAGTTTATATGATTTTGCAAGTGCCCGTTTGTAATCCTTATGCGCAAATAAATCTTCTATCAGGCAAGTGGAAAACAGACCGAAAGAGCCGAACAGCTACAGCACAATGGGAATTTCCGTCACCGAAGTTACAGCCTCAGAAATAAACCGCCATCTTGTCTGTGCGTTCATTGAAGTGAGCCCAGTGTATCGATTCTGTTATAAACCTAACCTGGCAGTTTTAAGAATCCTGTATGTTGGCTAGATCTTGGATAATGGTTTTGTGTTTTGGTAGAGATTTGTAATAATTTAATCCCTCACGTGAAGCTTACAAAAGGATTTGCATATATACACATAGCAGACAATATATGCAAATTATTTTAAAGTCACGCTTTCAGTTTCCGCACTGGGTTATGAAAAATGTTTTGTTTCCAAAGGTTATTACAATATTCAAACTTATTTACCTTTTCCGGTTTAAAATGGAACAAACTCTTCTTCGATTTGGCGTTTCTCGCTTCACGTCGGCTTCCGCTTCGGCATGTTTTCTCAGCCCGTTTCCCGGGAGTTGTGCTACTTGGTTGAGACGATCTCTTAATTCCAAGACACTTTCAACAGCTCATAAGATCATAACGGGGAACCTATCTGGGCTAGACCCGGGTAGACCCCAAAATTTGCAAAGAAGAAAGGTTGAAGTATCACGACGACCAAAAAATCCGATAAAACCGTTAACAGTAGCCAGCAATGAATCCAAGAAGAACGGCAAAAACAACACTCAAATCATCATGGCGGCTTATACATGACCGAGCAATTCAAACTTGTCACAAACGCTCAAGAAAGCAAAACATTTTAAAGTAATGTAACCACTATCAAGAAAAGTGTTCCAACAACTTTCCACGGCCGTATAGTGTGGAAATTACCTACACAAGCTTGGAATAAAGCGAAAATTTCACCATATACACCTCTGAAAACGGCTCCTCCCAAGAGCAAAAATCACTCTACAAATAACGCATTCTGATTGGTCGAATCTCGTGACGCACACCGCCTGATGACTACCGTACAGGTTGTCGAAACGTCAGTCACTGTTAACAACAACAGTCCTATTCAGGACTACGTCCACCCGGTCGATCAAACTCAACCTACTTTTGAAATGACTCCTGGGTTCAAACCTTTCACAATAATGTAAATCTACTTTACAAAACAAGAACATGTAAAAGTAAAAAACAACAACAACAAAGAACGTAAATAATTTTTTTGAATTTCTAGTGGGAAAAGGGAAGAACAGAGACACCACGGGATTAAAGATATGCCATTTCCGCTTAGCTTCATCTGGAGCTTCACATTTTTTGTCCGTCTCCATGGCATGATCACTAGATTTACTTTTCCATAATTTGATGTCGTTAGGTCAAACTATCTTCAGTGAAAATGGCGAAAATAGGAGTAGCATTTTCTGGTGGAGGAATTCGGTCAGCGGCTTTCTGTTCAGGCGTCCTGCGGAGAATGCTTCAAAAGAACGTGGAGATAGACTACCTAAGCTGCGTGTCAGGAGGTGGTTTCACAGGATCTGCTTACATGGATTGGAAATACAGACATGATAAAAAGGACGACAAGAAATGGCATCAGGAATTTTTCAACCACATGAGGCAAGAAGCAGGGTTTATCTGTCACTGGCAAAGGCCATGTAAAGCGATCGTGGAGTCTATGGCCTTGCTTGCAGTTGTTGTCTTTGTGTCTGTTATTGTACCTGTGCTTTTCTTGGCTTCGATGGCGTTTCCTTTGGCTTATGTTATAGACTTCTTATTTGGTAGGATTCTCAGAGGTGCTGATCTGTCGTGTCCCCAAGAAGTACAACGAAACCCAAAGATGACTTTACAGCAGTGCAGGGAAGAGCGAAGGTCGCCGTACGTAATTTATGATCAATTTGTACTGTTCATTACACCGATATTTGTTGGTTTAGTATCTAATGTTCTTAAAAGGTGTATTCCAAGGTCGAAGGGACTTTTCAAATTTGTTTCTATTTTTTGTGTAATCTTCTTCGCACTTGTCTTTTTTCCGTGGTTCATACAGGATTTTCTTCGTGTTCTTCCAAATTGGATGAAAATCCTTCTTATTTTCTCGCTGTTTTTCGTGTGGATTTCTTTCCCTCTCAACCGCTCAATCGCCACACTAATGCTTGGTGTATACGTTATTTCGTTTGTTGTTTTTTGGCGAGTCTACAAGGAGGACGCGTTAGGTGTTAAATACGACAAAAAGAGTTTTGATTTGCTCCTGGAAATATCAGTACTTTTAAACTGGATTGGTCCTCTGATGGTTACCATTCAACAACGCCTAGGACATGTATATGCAAGGTAAGATTTCTCGGCAAAAAAAGACAATTAATTAACAATTAATGAATGAGGCTGAGTATCTTATGGAGAATTATGGAGATCAAGGAGGGTGTTATCCGTCGAGGTCGTAGGCCGAGGCAGATAACACCCTCCGAGATCTCCATAATTCTTCATATGATACGAAAGCCATGCCATGTTTTTAGCTATAATTTCGCCTAGTTCTTGCTCTTGAAACGAGTGAAATGTCCGCCATTTTTTGTTATCACAACCAAAACAACTCAACCTCGTCCCCAGGTCTTCTCGGTTAACGGTGCCTTAACCTGGAAGAACGCTGCATTTTTGACGTCATTTCCTCGTTAAACACAAAATTCTTCCAAATTTGGTCATCAGTAACTGGTTATGGTGAATTATGCCTGTGCTTTTAGCCAATCAGAATCGGGGAAATATTTTGCATGAATAATAATTGAACTTATTTTGAGGACCTGCTCAGTCAGTCGTCATAAAACTATCACATAACTTAAGTGAATTTTCTAATCTTTATTAAGAGAAATTAAGACTTGGATTAGTAAGTAAGTAAGTAATCTTATTTAATCAGGGTAGTCCGTTCAGCAACGAGGCTGGTATCCATAGCGGCCCTGAGAAATAAAAAAAGTATACTATTTAAAAATTCCTAAGGTATATACATGATTAAAATAGACAATAATACTGTAAAAAATCTAGCTAAGCAGGAGCAAAGTCAATATTAAACGTGTGTGCTAAGAGATAACAAATTAAAATTATGAGGTAAAATACTTGGTCAGCATCTTTTTAAAACTATTTACAGACGTGGCACTTTCAGCATAATTGGGTGAATAATTGAAATAAATAGCCCCTGCATACTTTAAAGTTCTTTTGACCATGTAATGTTTAGGCTCTGGTGGGTGCAGGTCGTTGCTTCTCCTAGTTGCACGATCGTGCAAATCCGCATTCCTTGTAAACTATTGAGTAAAATACTTGGGTACTAGATTATTTAAACACTTAAAAACTAGAATGCATTTATGCATTTTTCTTCTTGAAGCTAGATTTTACCAGTTTAGCACACAGAAAGTGTCATTTGAGGTGGTGTAACTCTTTGCAACACCCCTCCGAGGCTTCCCCCCACGCAGCATCAACACCAACCCCATTTAAATCCCAGAACATCCTTTTTAAAGACAGAGCATTGGGTTCAAATTTACTCCGACCAAAAGAAGATTAAGTACATCTATTATTTATAAAAATAATAAATATGAGAAAAGCTACACAATTTACTCCGATTCTCTCCCCCCTTTCATCCCTGACATTTTATGGGCCTCCCCCCCTCCCCTCCCCCGAGCTTCGCGAGTTTCTGCGATAAACGTATTTCTAGTTAGGTGAAATCGTGTGTGTTCTGTCCCAGTAGGTCTGCGCCATTGTTAAGACACTAACCTTGATTGTTCAAACAGTATCATATCATGCAATTAGAAGGAAATACAGTCAACTCACTCTTAACAGTGGTGTCTATCAAGAACGGACGCCTCCTTAAACGGAAACTGTAAGAACATATGTTAGAATTGGCCCCTGCCCGGTTCTTTAATTTAGTCATTTTCTTTGACCCTCTCTAAGCCAGACACTTAGCTATAGTGGCGGTTAAAATAGGCTGTGTTGACAGTATATTTTAATTAGCAAAACGTCAACAGTGAGTCACCTTGGGCTCTCAATTTCCCTGTGTGCTTCAGGCATTTTGTCTTTATGTTTAAGGAATAGTAGGCTATCCCACAATTAGACTTGAGCGGAGAAACTCAGGCAGTGCAGCAAAAGCTAGAGACCTCTGGCACCCTAATCTTTGCCGTACTTCGTAAGAGGAGTTGATGTTATTTTCGCGGTCCGTGTTTTCTTCTTGGTAGGTGGGTAATCCAGAAGGCATTTTTCTATCCAAAGACAGTGGGAAAGTGTGGATGCGAGGGAATCAGTTGGCGAAACCTTTTCCTTTACTGCCCAACCTGCTGTGAGGAGCCACAGGGTAAACTAACAAATATAAGATCTACCAAAGCTTTAACTTTAGATGATTTAGATGAGTTTACACCGACGTACATTGGATGCATAACGAGTAACCACTGGAGACGCACCTCTTCCCCCAAAGAGCCTCACTATGAAGTCTTTACAATGAGTTCGGAGAGTATTGAGCGTCTTGACCGCCCTCAGAGCGAGGAAGAACTTCTTGGAAAGCTGATGCCTGTCGATGTGTATCTATCTGATGTCGCAGCCACATCTGCGTCGGCCCTCAACTATCACATGGGAAGCATGCAGGGCGATGAAGAACCTTTCAAAGATTTTAAAGTACTGCTTGGGTTGTCACTTGGCACATCAATCGTTTCTGATGAAAAACACGAGAAAAAGAGGCCCTTCTGTGTTCAGGTGAGGAATCTCATGCAACAACATATTCAACTATTTTATCAAGGACAGAAACCAATCTCCCGAAAGCGTCCATCTCTTACTAAAGGTGGGCTGCAGATCTTGTTAGGTTCTCGGGATATTCATAAATTTATCTATCACACCAAAAAAATTCTCAATTTATATAATTATGCTAAACTAAACATCCCTCTATATCATGAATTTGTCGACGAGGAGCAGGCAAATGAAGAAGTGAACTTAACATTGATAAAGGTAAGCATGCTCTAGCTTGTTCAAATTAAACTGTAAAATAGCATGAAAGAATAATAAAACAATTATTGGATAAGGCTTTTTTGTGATCTGAAGAATTATGCAGAGGACATACTCAGCCTCATCCAGTAATTGCTAATTACTTTCACCAATATTCGACAGTAACATAACACGGCATGCATTAGTTTTTTTTTCCTAGTTAATCCATAGCCTGTTCCAGGCTCCGAGATAGTTGGGTCCGCGAAATTGAGAAAGCGCGGACGCTAAAAATAAAACAGCAGGGAGATTAGGGAGAGAAAGGGAGACCCTTTTGCCCAGATCACGTGCCTTACACTTACGCGTCATCCCTACTATCTGAGAGCCTGGAACAGGCTATTTCAACCCAAAAAAACCGGCCTGAAAACTAGCTTATACTCATATATACATTTTTAACCAACACACCAAGGACGTTCGCGTCCACATTATTTCTTTCTTTATAGATTCTGCCTTTCTTGGTGGAGATGCTCCGTGGACTTCCGTTGATAGTTTTGTTTGCAGCTTACCTATATACTGGCAATGGCTTTTATATTTTAGTGGGTTTTCTCGTATCATTTTCCTCTGGGATCCTTTTTTCATTAATGGCGCTAATACCTACAGGGAGTAAGCATCGTGGGAGAATGGAGCGAATCGCCAGGTAAGAATGATTTTTTTCTGGTGTGTGCCTTAAATCGTCATTATAGCCTTTTTTTAAAGAAGGAAACAAATTTTTTAAAAAAGGTTTTGCCTGTAAGAAAACCCAGAGCTATATATAAGTAATCCACACTCAAGTGATTCGCTTTGCAAGAGCAAAAACGTCTTAAAGGGAGATTAAGAGCAAGACTTGTAGCAGTTTTTAAGGCTGAATCTTGTAATCTATACTTTTTCAGGCGAGCGAAGGCAGGAGCGAAGCAAGCGAGAAGCTCGAGACACGTGCGACGTCGCGCATGTCTCTCGCGCCCTACGCCCTCTTCGCGTTTGCCTCAGCTCGCCTGAAAAACGCAATAAAAACAAACGTCGGTTATGCAGGCTATGTGTAGAATAGTGTTCCAACAAGTGTTGCGTTGTTCAACACTGGTGGTCACTAAAGTTGAGAGATGTTCAATTTTCATAGCCTGCGTTGCAGCCGTCCCATTTTTTGTCGAGACTAAGGGCGCTTTCCAAAAGTCAGAACTGGCTGGCCAGACCATGGCTGGAGCAGCATTTTGACAATGAAATAGGCTTTTTCCAACAGCTCCTGCTGAAAAACCATCTCTTTCGTGCATAGTATTTAGGATTTGACGGATCTGGTTAGATAGTTTTGATTAAAAGTAAAATTATCATTACTACGGAAATGGTCTGGCCGGTCAGTCCTGACAAATGGAAAGCGCCCTAAGTTTAGAGTAAAAACCCTTGAATGCAGAGGTCCACTCAACGCAAAAATAAAATCGACTGGTTTCTTATTGCCGGATCTCCAATGTAGAGATGCTAGAACCAGACGTCACTTGAAGTGAGAATTAAAACTTAACTGAATACAAGGCTGGCAATACGGCAAAGGGCTGATTTATTTGGGGCCAATATTTCCGCTCACAAAATTAGCCTTCCTCAGGGTCAGAGCTACACTGAAAGAAAATTCTATGAAAGACAATTCTCTTCAAGGATGGGTGAAACTAAACGCACGCTTCGTGAACGCTTGAATTAACCCTATTCAGACCGGGGGGGGGGACTTTTGAGGCTCCCCTCGCTAAAAAGTTGAATAACTTCAAAACCAATAAATTCAGCGATGTGACTCATAATGACGTCATATTACGTCATTGTGTCAATCAAGTTATACAAAGAAGTTGGAATGATGAGTACATTTTTGTGTGTAATTTTTGGCGATCGTAGGATAAGCTGTTTTGAAGTTATAGAGGGGGAGCCTCCGAGGGTCCCCCTGTCGCAGGAAGCAAAAAAAAAGCCCGGTCCCGATAGGGTTAAAGAACATAGGCAACCAACAATCCACTCCACGCTAACGCCACTCCTGGTATCAGCCACAAGTTGCTCCAAATTTTCTTAAAAGTTGCCCCAGAATTCTTTAAAAGTTGCCCGAAGTTGCTCGACTTTTCTAAAAGTTGCTCAAAAGTTGATCCTTAAGTAAAATCAAAATGACAGCCATAGCGAAGTACAATAATGTAAAAATAAACTACTGCTTTCTTCGCTTTTTTTATTTAACGCATCTAACGGTCGGTGACGTTCAAATGTGCAGCAACTGTGTAAAGTAATTAATTCCTACAGAATCAGAGCACAAAATATTTTTACACAGAGACAAACAACAATTTAATCCTTCCTTATGACAATGTCCTTCTCTTGTTAATATTCTAGAAAAACTGTATATTAAACGTTACGCGTTTTCAGCAAACACTAAATCAATCAGTGTCATTTGTGAGACGAAAACCATAACAGATCGATATCTTTCTTTTTCTCTCCCTCTTTGGTTTCAACTGTGCAAGTGCATGCATTCTCCTGCTCTGATAAGGCAGAGAAGTCTTCCTCTGAACTAACCGTTCTGGACATTTCTCGGTATTTGCAGCCATCTTGAAAACATGGTTTTATTTGGAAACCATCGGCATGGGTCCTGACCGCAGATTTTTCCATGTGATGGGCGCGGCGGGGGGGAGGGATAAAAAAATCCGTTTCATTAGGATTTTTCGTTAAAACGCTCCGTTGTGGATCATATGAGTCAATATTCCGTTTTTCGATTTTAGTAACTGAAAGAAACGAAATATCCGAAATATTACTAAAATCCTGATTTGGATTTTAGTAAAAGAAACGCACCCTATAGCAACAAAGAACAGAAATGTGTTTTCAAGGATGTTTTACAAGGCTTAAACAGTATTAAAAGACTTTGTAATTTCAATAAGGTGTTAAAAAATTTAATCGAGATGCCCCAAAAATCAAACGTTGCCAGAAATCAAGAGTCGTGGATGAGAGGACAACAGACGTGCCCTCTAACAATACATTTTAACATGAACAGTAAGGTCTGACGTCAGCATACAAAGGCGCAACTGGTAGCCTCTCTCAGTCCATTTATGAGCTTACTGTACCCACCCAACCCTTGATGTGAATGATGTGATTTGTGAAGGTTGACCACACCACCGGGGTCTACGTCCCCTACTCTTTTCGAACAGTGCATGGTGTGGGTTCTTTTACGTCCCACAAAAACCAGATAAGTGTAAGTTCTGTGAGACGGGACCTACGGGTTTTTCGTCGTCTAACCGTTTGCAGATGTCATTACAAAGGTAGAACTTTCTTCTCAGTTATTTAAAGACCCTGAGTGTTGGTCCGGCCGGGGTTCGAGCCCGTGACAACCCGCTCAGCAGACCGGCGCTCTCCCAACTGAGCCAAAGTTGCTTCAGGTAGCAAAAGTTGCCAAAAAGTTTCCGAACTTCCCACTTCAATCAATCTGGCCACTCGATAAAAGACATAGAACTTGTAGTAAACTAATCCAGCGAACTGCATGAGATTGAGTTAACACTCCAAACAAGACACATCATGGCGGGTCTCAACGACAACCTTGTTCCTCACAGCATTGTGGGTAATGACAGATCTCTTAGAGGGTGCTCAATATATTACAACTTAATCCACTGAACTTTAACCTACACTTAGTACGTCACGCCGTAAAACAAGAGAAGCTTTTCTCATAAATAGAGGCAAGACTCTTTCACCAGATGGTTTAACCGCAAGGACGAACATGCATTGAACCGTGCCTTATCAATCACTCTATTGTATGATTATTTACCTATCTATAATCATGGTATCTATTGTTCTCATTTTTAGTTATTCATTAACCACTTATGTAAATTTAAATTCAAATCTTAGGAGCCGTTGTAGAATTTTTTTTTCACTGTAGCTCTGGCCCTGAGGAAGGCTAACTTTTTAGCCGAATATAAGCCTTAAATAAATCAGCCCCTTGCGGTACTGCCAGCCTTGCATTCAGTTTTGTTTTAGGTTTAGAGTGTTTACGACGCAGGCTAAATTTTTGTTGATGAGGACCGGATCGCAATTACTTCCGGTTGTCGCTTTGCAGAGAGAAGTGACAATCGGGCATACGTCTGCATTCGCAGATCAAAGGGCAAAGGAATGATTGACTCCAACAATAAGTGAACTAACTATTATCTAACTGCAACGTTTTGACAGATGGTTTGCTATCAACATCTCTATTGTCACTTACGTGCGCAACGCGCTACAAGTTACCAACCAAGGTCCCAATCCTCCAGCGGTTATATATCTGAGTGACGGCGGCCATATTGAAAACCTTGGTATCCTGCCTTTGCTAAAGAAGAGACTGCAAAAAATTGTATCCATAGATGGAGGACAGTCCATTCTAGACGAAGATTATGGGAGTATTCTTTCAGAAGCTTTAAATATGGCAAGAAAGAAGCTGGATTGTTCATTTTCGGGAATGGATGGACGAGATATTGCTGAAGACATTCGAGAGAAGTTTGTGGAGAGACGTCCTGGATCACAGCCATCTAGCTATAGGTTCGTAACAAAACTGATAGTTGAATGCTTACATTAGCGGGATATAGTTGGAGAGGTTGACTCAATGTACCTTTAATGAAACCAAGTAAACAAGCCAAGCGACGCGAATGTCTGCCGCGCGCTTTGTCACAACACAACATTTATCTTCGTTACATACGACCCACAGATAATGCACGGCAAACAAATCGGCAATAGAAAAAAACTTTTTGGAAAAATAAGGTACACACTGAGTGAAACAAACTATTAAATAATATTAAATTTTTTCCTTTGGAAAGTAATCTTCCTCCCAGCAGACGGTGTGAATGATTTGTCTTATATGCTAAGAGTTTGACAATATTTTCGCTCTCAGTTGTCGAGCGCCAAAGCAGATGTCACGCAAAATTCCATGATCTCGTTCATGAGATAATTAAGGGTAGCACTGAATGATGCATAATTTCATTGCATATTTTCGGAAAGGAGGGATTTCTTAAAATCTTATCGAGCAAAATGACCTTGTAAAAAAGTTGCCTTGTTTCACGGTCGAACCGTAAAAGGGGCAGATTCCAACATCTTCAAGTGCAAACCGCGTTCTATTTTTAAAACCCTTGGGTTAATTGGATCAAGTCGTATTCTCTCATAAACGAATCACGAAAGCGGCAAATTCAAAAGCTTTCACGACAATACAACCCACAGTAAGGGCCTGATCACATGAGCCGGGGAAGCAATGCGCATGAACAGTGTGTTGCTCCGCTGTCCTGTTTCTCGCTTGGTTCATTCACCGGGCAGCCCGGCAAGGGTGATTTCTTGGAAAATTTCCACCCGGGATCCCGGCATCACAATAATGGTATCCCAGCTAACTGGGCTGGCTCGGTTGTCGTACAATAGCAAAGTTGATTTTTGTTGCGTTTAACTAAGGTGCAGAGATCTCTGGAAAGCGAGCCAGCCCGGCTCGTGTAATCAGGCCCTTAGTTCTATTGTCAGTTTTTACGCCCTCCCCTTATCCTCACCGATTTTCAAAGCCCTCGTTCACACACACAAAATTTCAGCCCGCAATCCCCACCTTCTCTCAACATCTTTATACCCCCTTCTCTATATGAAATGACCTTTTGGCCTTATTCATGTTCTCTCCATACAAATATTATAAAAAAGCGAATCACCACGACTTCATTTCAACACACTGAAACTATACTATCCCTTTATAAACGAATTAGCACTTCCACAACTACCTCACTGCAACACCTAAAATCACAAAACAATTATTCTACGAGAAACAAGTTTCATTGATTAACAAACTACAGTCATTATCTTTACCAAGTAATGTCCAATACAAGTTCATGCCTTCCCCTTCATGCATCCCCAACCCCTAGATATACAACGCTACTGCACTACTCACACATCCCTAAGACACATAAATAACTTCTCACACGCCTAGTATACGACGCTCAAATGTACGCACCCACAGCGTCTTGTTTTGTATACATTTCGTGCCCTTCGATGTTGTTTTTTGTTTTTTTTATTCTAAACTTAGATGCGGTCCTTTCAGATTCAACCCCAGAAAATTTCGCCAACATTTGACATATTAAAGGCAACTGAATATGGTCGGCGAAGTTTGACACAGTGCGAATTCACTTTTTAAGTGACGTTTTCGGTTTGTTGTAATCCAGAAATTTTGCTTCATTGGCAACGTGAGATAACGACTTCTCCTATCTATTGAGCACATCTCATGAAAACAATTTTCCTGAAAAGTGATTCCTGTCTGCAGAAAATGAAAGGCTTCACTGAGAGTGATATGGATAGTATAATTTAAAGCATCTTTACCATCTAATATCTTTTTTGCCACCCAATTCGCCAGATTTAAGGTGCAATACTACCAGAAAAATACCAACGGTGAAGGAAAAACCAAGGTTGGAGAAGGTGAAGTTCTCTACATTGTCTCAAGACATCCTGGCAAAGCTGCGAAGAAAACCAAACAGTATGTAACCTGGGAGGACGCACTGCGTGACATTAAAGTCGAACTGCCCACGGATCAATGGGGAACTGGGCCCGAATTAAAGGCCGAAGAGGCTGACCGACTGACGTTTGGTTGCTGCGAATGTTGCCATGGAAACACATGCCGTGGTTTCTCTGAAGCGATGTGCGGGGCTTTTCCACAACATTCAACGGGGAATCAGTTTTTCACTCCAACCATGTTTTCAGCGTATCACAGGGAAGGTTACCGTGCAAGTATGGAAGCTAAAGTAGAGGAGTTTCTGAATGAAGAATCCAACTCTTCCCAATCAACGGCATTCATAGTCTAATTGTTGTTGCTCTTGTTGTTGTTGTTGTTTTTCTAGTAATACACATATTGCTGGTTTTCATTGACATTATGCCATCCAAAAAAAAAACAAAACCGTTGACGGACTAGGTCCAGAATCCATGCTCGCCAAGATTTAAGTCAAAGCTTCATTTCACTTGCGAGATATTCGAAGAATATGATTTATGAAGACGCCACGTTGGATGGGCACCTACACGGCGACCAGAACCAACAGAAACATCTGTAACTGAGTTACGCTACGACAGCGTGAATTCAACTCTAAAGGAACTCATAAACGTTAAAGCAATATTTTTTCTAATTCAATGATTGTTCAAATCAAAAATCCCCCAAAGTAAGTCACCTTTTTAATGTACATGACAGCTTTCTCGGCCGCCATGTAAATGCCGCGTCAAGTAAAAGCTAAGAATTCAAGCGTACTGTATCACAAAACGAAGTGTCCTTATACGAAGTGAAAATTCTCTTAGTAAATATTAGTTTGAAGCTTCCTTAGCACTTCATGAAGGATCGATAATTCTCTAGTTTTGAAGTATGATGACGTCATGTAAAAACCAGCATTGTATACGCCATAGTAGATTGTATACAACGGTTGCAGAGTGATGAAACTAGCATATACTGTTTGACCTGCGTGACAGCTAAAAAATAATAGAACAATTCGCAGTGTTATGTTGACAAAAATTGTTTCGCTGACTCTACAAAGCTAAAGGAAACCTCAAAAAATCCTAAATCGATGTTCTTCAGTTCGGTAGTCTCCTTCACAGCTGTGTTTTATGGAAGTTTCGACAGAAGTCTTTTCGGGCAGTGTGGAGTCTTCGACGCAGGCTAATATTTATACCAATATTTTAAAAACGAATTGAATGCTTTCCGTTACTTGCAACTAACGTAAATCACTCTGAGCGACCAATTCTCATCCTCGTGCTTGCCAAGCTGTAAAATTAAAACATGGACTAGTGTATAAATACATTTTTGTGTAGCTAAGCTAAGATCAATTCACTACCAGCAATTAGTATATACACACTCGGTGATCTTGGTGATTTAAGCAATGTAATTGGTTCGCTATCTCAGACAATTCAACAATATTCACGACCTAGCTCGTAGATAATGTGTGAGCTGGGTGTTTTCCCAATTTTTTTTAGAGGAAGATCTTTTAAAAGTCAACAAAATCCTAGGGTTGACTTTTGTTAAGGCACGAAAAGACTTGGAAGGATACAAAACGGCGTTTTTCCATTTCCTGTCGCCGGGTTTTGTGCTAGATGTATTGTCTAACAACCCCCGTTTATTCGCGTAGAAAAAGCCGTTTCGTGAACTCAGAATTTCCTAACAAGAAAATTTGACCCAAATACGAAGTTTATTTATGAAAAACAAATTTGAAGGCAAATATTTGCAAAAAATTCTACGTTTCAAGTAAACAGGACAAAGAATGGTACAAGAAGACGACGTCTTACCTCGAGCAACCGAGCCGCCATTTTTGTCAGCACTTCATACGCAGAACGACACAACAAAGCCTTTTGCCTCTAAACTTGGCGAGTCGACCGAAAACAACAAAGCTCTACTTTTCTTCTCCATTTAAGCCATTACGTTGTTTGCGAAGTGATAAACTTGTGAATTGCCAAGTTAGAAAATTCTGCAAAGATCTATTTTTAAACTCTCACGTGATTTGATCCGTCAATCTAATCGTACTTTTTGATGGTTTCCTCTCTGATTTTGTTGAGATCATTTCGTGTGTATATACTAAAACAATTATTCTTTTCAATCTCCGTGAATAGTGGCTTTAGGAATATTTACCTTGCTGCTTCGCGCCTTGGTAAATATATTCAGCCACTATTCACCTCGATTTCAAAGAAAATAGGTTAAACCAGATGGGCATTTTTTTCATTTTTAAATTATTACTTCAGATATGGATAAATTCATATTCTTAAACACTAACCGCACAATTTTGTTCAAAGAAGATCCCTTTGTGCGCTTGATATTTCAAACGTTCCTTGAAATTCATGTTTTTTAAACTGAATGCAATTAAACAACGCATGCGTCATCAACCCAATTGGTCGATCGCCAATATTTAAACAATGTTTTACGTAGACCGTATTTAGGACGATCTTTAAACCTCCACATATCCGTTTTAGTGTTTAGAGTTCAAACTGTTTTTATTTTCCTCATATTGGCTAAACTTCGTGAATCGCCCCAATGTGTTTTGTTTCAAGTTAATTTTGCAATGGTCCTTTACTAGAAAACGTTTTGACGTTTCCCACACTCTCCTGCTAATGTCTTGTTTTTATGTTTACTGGACAATTTTGACCGGTCTACCCAGGAAAACAGAGTGGGTTCTAGAACAATGTCAAGAAATCAAGTCTAGAAGCCGTTTTTATTTGCGAACTTTACTCACTTCAATTCCCGGCCTTATAAGCAAATCAATAAAAATCGTAAAATTGAACCTCACCGTATTGCATTACAGTGTTGTAATTACAATATAAATTTTCTTACCGCAGAAAAGAAAACAACAATTTCCTTTTAAGGCCAAGCTTGGATTTTCTTCCCGTCTGACCCTAAACTTCTTAACAAACAACAAGAAGTCAAACAGGAAGACTCAAGCGAAATATCCCTTGGTTATTAATTAGCGTTTCGGGAATGCACATGCTTTGGATTTTAAAGCTTGTTTCGTGTAACCGAAGAAATACAATTGTATCTGGTTGTAGAAAATTTTACAAACAAAGAAATAACTAGGTTGAGTTTGATCGTCCGGGTGAACGTAGTCCTGAATAGGACTTTTGTTGTTGACAGTGACTGACGTTTCGACAACCTGTGTGGTAGTCATCTTCAGAGTGGAGATGACTACCACAGATGACTACCACACAGGTTGTCGAAACGTCAGTCACTGTCAACAACAAAAGTCCTATTCAATTCAGGATTGACGATCAAACTCAACCTACTTTTGAGTGAAATGACTCCTGGGTTCAAAACTTTCACAAAGAAATAACTGACATGACACAGCCAACCATTTGCTTTGCGGCTCACGGCTAAGTTCGTGACCTTTCTTGACTTCCGCTGTTGACTTATTAGGTAATAATGCCCCCTCTCCCTCCCCCCCACCCCTCCCCCCTCAATGCGGTCGAACGGTCAATACAACAGGAACCCCAAAAACCATTCATACATTTGTCAAAATTTTATAACAAAAAGAACAATAAATTGCAAAGTCTAATAGGCAGTCGTGTTCCAACCGAAAAAAGGAAAAATCAATAAACCTCACCGTATCTCATTACAGTGTTGTAATTAGAATACAACAAATATTTGTTGCCTGCAACAAATATTTCTTGTGCATTCAGTAATGCCTTAGCAACTCGAGACAGGAAAATATAATGACTTAAAACATCCTTGGCTAGTCACTATAAAAAAGCGGCATCTTACGAGCCGTACTACTTCACATCAAGACCAAGGTTCAGAGTTGTTCTGAAGTCAGTATGAAGACTACTGTGGCGATTGTATTTCTTCTACAGGTGTCATTAAGATTTGGTAAGTTTCTTTTATGAGAGTATTAAAAATTTCTTGTAATGTTTTTCTGGATAATTCAAGAAGTACGTTGATCAATTTTATTAAGTCAAGTACATCACCCTTTCAGCCGTTTGAAATTCAGCGTTTTCTGATCGTTATTTTCTAATCATTCAGCGGTTTCTAATAATTACAATGGACCAAGGTTCATGGTCGTTATTTGGTATTTAAAAGATTTACAAGACCGTACCAAAAGAAATGTGTTGCAGAGTAATTTTTAGCATGTTCTTTTTCGTGATACACTGTCAAACAAAAATCGCAAACTTATGAGCGTATTATGAACGTAAAAGGTTGTATCGTAGATTTTTTTTTGAAACGAATCCACGACAGTCGAGATACCCTGCGCTCGAGCGGGTGCCGAAGCTATCCGCCCCTCTTTGATGAGAACGAGCCTATCCCAGACCAACGTCGTTCCCCAGGGTTGGAAAGAGTGGGAGAGAACCCTGACAACAGGGTTGGTTCCAGGCCCTCAGTTGATAGATAAGTGCGACTAAGGAAGACTACGACGACGAAAAAAATTTTAATTAAATGAAAGCCTGAGTCATGCAGGTGTTCGACGAGGAAACGTGAAGCAGCTAGCAGATATCGCTTACTTCTTACATCTCTTGTATGATTATAGCCTGAAAGAATGTCCACTATAATCGCCCTGATTTCTTTTAAAAGGTTTTTCTGAAACGGCTTGTGATCAACCGCTTGGAATGCAGAACGGTGCCATTCCGGACTCCGCATTGACTGCTTCCAGTGAGGCAGCTGCTGCCCATAGTCCTAACAGAGGAAGACTAAATTATGCGACACCTGCACCTGCTGCTTGGTCGTCTGGAGGTGCTCATTATCTGAAAAACAGCTGGTTTCAAGTTGACTTTGGAAGTTGGACTAAAGTGACGAGGATTGCAACCCAAGGAAGAAAATATGCCTACCAGTGGGTGACACGATATCGTCTGTCTTATTCCTACGATGGGATATTCTTCAAAGACTACACGGAAGTAGCCTCTTATCCAAAGGTACTTTAGCATTAATATAAAAATAATCGAACCTTTCATCGGTTACCACCAATGCTGCGAAGATCTAGTGGTCGTTCTCGGGAGGTGGTCGCATGCGAGAATCGAACCGGGGGTCTTTTTTTTTCTTTTTATTTCAAGAAGAGATCCATACACATCTAACGTGAGGCAAGAAATTTTTGCGGGGGTTTATTTTTTGCGGATTGGCAATTTTTTGTGTTTTGCGGGAACTTATTTTTCCGATTAGGACAGATTGGTTTTGCTTAGAATTAATTTTTGCGATTTTCAGAAAGTACCCATGTACCCAGAATTGATTATATTTTCGTTTTTATTGAGTACGTGCAATAGAAATACATATTTCAAGCAATAAACCAGTATTTAGTTGTTTCTGAGTGAGAGAGGCAAGTTGTGATTGCCATGACAGACACGATTTCGTAGTACTGTA